TGATGGAAATAATACATCCTATGGTCTCGGACACCCTCGCCCGGGACGGATATGATTTCTTCAGTTCTTCACCGACCATCGTTTTCCGTCGCAAGAAGATATTTTGTGCGAGAGGCTCTACCGGACGTTTTTACGTCTTTAGGTTCCTCCCTACCTATTCGACTCGCGAGTGAACGCGTCGTACCGTAACATTGCGCCGTCACCGAATTTCATGTGTTCTACGGGATAGCGAATTTCCAACGACAAAAAAAAAATATTTACTCGAGGATTTAACCATGATTTAAACTTAAAAATAAAGTGTTTTGAAAAAAATTAACTCTTCAGAAACCTATTTAATGTGATACATAATATTATATTCAAGCTAAATGCAAATAACAAAAGTACAAAACAATGAATTAAAACATTGACTAGGCAGCCCAATTTTCCATGTAAATGAAAAATATAGTTTTCTAATATTCTGATAATGTTCCTAAGCATTTTTTATCCATGTATTTCGTTTTCATCGTTTTCTAAAAACGGTTTTTATCCCTAAATAATATAATACGAGATTCGTCTACAGTACGCGCGTGGAATGCTACAGGTCTAGCCGCCAAAGGCAATTTATTTTATTTTATAACGTTGTTATAATATATAATAACGTTATAAAATCACTGCCGCCATAATGACTGACCACTAATGCTACTTAAATGTCAGCGGTAGCGACACCGCACGAATGTGTTCACTCACGTATTATACTCCTGACGGGCTGCGAAAAACACGATATTTTACACCCAGTCCCCTCCGGTGCACCAGAACGGTATAATAATTATCTCCTGTTTATCCGCGTCGACGACGATCCGAACACGCGATCGTCGTCTTGTTATAATCTCTTTTGGTTTTCGCGAAAACCACGTTTCTGTTCAAAAGAAAACACACACACACACGCCATGCGGCCAACCACGACGACGGTGCGGTCGGAGCATTTAAAAATGTTCATCAACCTGTTGTACGCACCACTGTTATATAAAATATCGTCATTATTGTATAATTAACATAAAAGCGTGCGTATAATCGTGCGAGTACTACATAATATTATAATATACGTAGGTACCTACCGCGGTAATATTGTCGGATTTATATATTATATACCGATAAACGTTTTTATAGTTTCCGATTTACAGTAAAAACTAGTTATGGCGGCAGAGGTATAATAAAGGCACAACTACTACAACTCAGGCCCATGACGGCAAACACCGATAATAATATACTACAGTGCATAATATTTTATAATAATATATAAATGCCTATACATTTAATGATTATTATGTGTTTTTATTGATTTCGTTTTGATTTCTAGGAAAAATCATAATTATAGTTGCTCGTACGCCCGAGTCGACATGAGAAGTAGTACTTACGGCAAGTCAAAACGTTTACTGCAAAACCCAATTCAATCCCACCAAAAGTGAAGCCAAAGTATTTACTTTGAAAAAATACGTGAACTCAGCCTTAGTACAAATCAACAACCAAAAAATCCTAGACAAGATCCTATACCCTCGGCCTCTACTAAACTTACCACAACCCTGCAGATGAAATGCTCTCTACTGACATATTTTAAGTCCATAATAAGTATAACAACTACTAACTTATACATGCCCATGCCCAGTATATAAGCGCCGCTACGCCAACGTAAATAAAAAAATTGCTAACTCTACAAAACAAATTTCTAAGAATATAACTCAACATTGACAAGGGATACCCCTAACTGTAAAAATGGATAACTAACATACAAAAACTTCAATAATAATCTAAATAAAATTAATTATTGAAAAAACTCTTCATTACAAAATCGGTGAAAAAACATCAAACCCAAACTAAAACCACGCCTACCACCTTCCTAGAAGACCAACCAGGCAGTGGCAAGAAGATTTCTTTGTTTACCCATGAATATATATTTATTGTATTTATTGTAAATTTATAACTTTGTAAAAACATTTGGTATGTTGAAACTATAAATTAAATTTAAAAAAAAAATAAAAACATTTACTGCGGAATTCCGTTGAAAAAAAATACTCGAGAGAAGCGGATAAAGCGTTCGGCCGGCGGTCATTATAATATAATTGTGCGTAGGTATTATAGAAAACGTTTTCTCATCGCCGTCAACTGACACCGACCGCGACGTCACACCGCGGCGGCGATGAAATATCCGACCAGTTCCCCTGGCGGCCGATCAAAAACCCAATAATAATATCGGTTGTCGTCCCTACTCGCCAGTCCCTAAAGTCGGTGGCGAACTCACGTTCACAGGTCGCATTCGGTCCGCGTCGTGTACATAATCAATAATAATAATAATATATGAAATGAAATACACAAATTTGCAATAATAATTCGAAAAATCGAACCCGACGAACCACCTGTGTACATCGGCAGCGGCGGTCAATAACGCGACAACAATAAAATATCAAATAGTCTAGTCGTCGTCGTCGTCGTCGTAGTACGCGAGCCGGAAAGATAAAGGACGGACGGGTGGGCGGGGGACACGTTGCACACACACACACGACACACGAACCGATGTTTTTCGACGATAACGAAAGTCGCAGTCGGAGACGGATGGCGCGCGCGCATTATTATTGCACGTAGCGAATGTAGGAGATGCATTTTATAATAATAATAATAATATGTAATAATATTACGTTCCGTCGACCGTTCGCGTATATTTTATGGATGGGTGGGTGGGTGGGTGGGCGAGTCGGACGTGAGTGTGGTTTAGAGCTTCGAGAACGAGCAGCGTCGTCGTGTCCTTGGCTATAAAATGAAATATAATAATATTTTATGTATATATATAGACAGCACTCGCCGAACACGCACACACAAGCGAATGCATACGAACATCGTCTTGTTCGCGACACACAAACGCACGAGGGCACGATTTGATTTTGTTTTTCGTTCGTACGGTTTGTTATTGCGCTCCGCTGTCCTGACGACGACCGTGTATGTGCCGCCGCAGTGCCGCACACCATTCCCGCCGCCGCCGCCGCATCCACCTAACGACGAACAAGCCTAACGTCAACGCAGCCGCCACACACACACACACATGCGCGAATGCCACAATAATAATAATGTGTGACCTCGTCGTGTCCGTCACTCTATCTCACTCACTCCACGTGATATTATAAAAACACACACATACTTCTGGACGATTCGAATGGCGCGCGCGTGCATAACGTTATTGCCATTATCATGATTATATTAATATATATTGTTATTATTATCGTGTACCTCCGTACGCACAATAATATTAATTTGCGTCGGTTTCTGTACATCTGTCGGGCGCGCGCGCGCTCTCGTTTTGCGGCGCACTGCAGCAGTCATCGGACGTACATGGCTGCTGCCGGATTTAAAATCGCGATTTAATCGGCTCGACTCGTAGGTCGTCACCGACAGAGAACCATCAACGGATGAAATATGATTTATACAAGCGAGGTCGTGTGAAAACGCCGACCGACGGGAATACGGGTCTGATCATATTCCTCTGACGACGATATAGCACGTCGTCTACAACGTTATTGTTGTTGTCGTTCCGTACAAGTTGATAATATTTTCATTCGGTTTTTTTATGTACTTCCGACGACCCCGACGATAACGGTTGCGCGTATTATCCGACATACAACAAGCCGCGGCGCGATCGACCGACGAAAATATAAACGGATAACTCTAAAATAAAACATTCCGAGACGGAACAAATCAGACGAGCCCAACGCTGCCGCGTCCCGTTCCGCCTTTCCGACAAGTTGTCCGAAATACGACGTTTCCGTGCGTGGATTTCACACGGTCACGACGTTTGCGGCAAATAACTTGTACTTGCAATTACTCGTTGTCGACAAGACGACGGGCGCAGATGACCCGCCGCAGAATGAGTTATTGTTGCGTCAATAAGTCGTTTTGTATATGACACGATATTGCAGTACGCGGACGACTGAGAAAATAGAAACTATAAATATTATTATCTAGAGTAGCGTGCGAAACACTCGGGGGGGGCACCAATGGGCATTGGCTAATAACAGAGTCTGAGATCACAACGGCCCTTGGACAACGTAGTAACGTACCCGCTGTTGCACTGGCTGGCCCGAAACATACGACCGGCACAAAAAGATTATAGACAGCTTTAACATTATCCGATAACTGATAAGTGGTGTTCAGTGATACGCGTGGTAGTTATAGACCTAAAAAGTATTAACTAATAGGTCCATGGCAGTAGTATACTAACATCGTAAATTTCCAAATGAAAGGGGATCAATGTCGAAACAACGACAAAAAAATGCCTGATCTCAAAAGAGGGCTATGAACAATATTGGTTCCGCCCGACTTAAATATTGAAATCAAACCGTGATTAAAATAATAATAGTTTGAAAATTAATAACAATTTGTTGACATGTTTATTTTTAAATGTTTCATGACTTAAACTTTTCAACTGAATTTCTTTTAGCATTCATTTTTATGATGATTACTATAACCTCGACTATAATATTATGAAATATGACTGATTATTATTTAAAATAACCATAAGTCAAATTTTAACCATAAACCGTTATTTAGATTTATTTGAGCAGACAAAAAATCATTTAATTTTATATTTTTAAACATATATTTGGAAAATTGTAAACCTAATTAAGAATTTGACAACGTTGGAGATAATTAATAATTATAATGCAAGCGTGTCGTATTTTAGGATTCCCTTGCCATTCGACAATATAATGTTTTTCTCAAAAATGTTAATAGTTCGCAATCGGGTCTACCCTTTACAACTAGCCGGCGAGTATGGCTTACACAGATAACGTTATCTTGGCGGAAATTGATTAGTACTTGGAATCTATCTATATAATATATCCATATCGGTATATTATTAGTCTGACCATAATAGCACTTGGCGTTTATTTTCGAAAACATTTACTACGATAGCGATAGTAATGATACAATTAATAATAACGATTGCGAGCTTTATCATAGATTAAAATATCTTGTGATTATAAATATTGCCTTACCTGTTTTCGTTTCCGAGAGGAAAAGTGCGCAGTGGCCGACTCGTCGATCTGCTCCTTAAACGTCTCGAACAGGTTGACCACTTGCGAGTAGTCCGGGTGCCCATGCGACACCTTGACGTACGCTTTCCAGTTCTCGCGCTTGTAACCCCAGTGGCACGAATTGGTTCCCGTGAACCGGTGTATGTGGTTAACGAACCGCTGAGGCGCAAAGAGCGCCTTGCACTCGACGCACTGTATGCACGCCGAGAACTTCTCGGTGTACAGTTCGGGCATGCACACGCCCCGGGTCTTGCCGAACACATCGTGGAACACCTCGAACGAGAACGTTACGACGTCGTCGGGCACCGGGGCCGCGGGCGGCGGGATCCGGTGGAGCAGCGCGAAGCACAGCCGCTCGGCATTCGTCTTGGTCATCAGCCCGCACGACGGAGCCGTCACCGGCAGTATCTGGCAGTGCTTGAGCATATCCAGCTGTTCGGGCGTACACCGAGAACAGTAGATGCGCAGCTCGTCGCACACCTGGTTTATCTGGGTGAGCGTAAAGTCCCGGAGCACCGTATTGAGGATCTGCGGCAGGCACAACCGCATCTCGCCACCCACCATGAAGCACGCGATCTTCTCCCATTCCAGCTCCGTCTCAAACAGCTCGCATCCAGACTGGTCGGGCACGTACAGCACCGGGTGCAGGGGTGGCGGCGGTGGTGGCGCCGGCGCCGGTGTCTTCCTACCGCCGCCGGACTCGGAGTCGCCGCTTGTCGCGGTGGGCATGGGCGCCTTGGGCGAGCACACAGCCACTGCAGCGCCGGACGGTTCGTCCAGCACCGAGTTCGGTCCCTGCAGGCTCCTGGGCGCACTCATCTGGTATGTTTTGAGCACTTTGTTTATGTGCGGGTTGTTCACCTGCTGATCGTTGTGGTGGTCGTCTTCCATCTCGACCGTTCGGGTCAAGTCGTCGGTCAGTAGTCGTTTTCGTCGTCGCCGTCGTCTTCTTCGTGCCCACACAATCAAGTGCTCGTGTTGTACGCACGGATGTCTGTTCCCCGCACTACTTCTCTTGCTGTTGCTGCTACTTCTACTACTACTGCTACTGCTACTACTACTACTGGTGCTACCGATTTCGGTGATGCTCCTGTCAGTGCTCGACTGCGACGACGGCACTCATATCGCCGCGGCGAATGCGGACACGTCATGCCCGCAGTCCGCGGACGATCGCGCGACAACAATCACCGGTGGCCGCAGCGGCCGTGTCGACGACGGCATGTGTCGAGGCGGAACCACGTCGACGACAACAGCATCAACCGGTATACACCGGTATGGGTCGTTAGAAGCTCTGTGGAAATCGCGCATGCTACGGAAACACTCGCGGAAACGGATCAAACACCGGCTCGAGTCCAAAACGATTAAACGTATTCAATGTAAAAAAAAAATCGAAAATTATTTACAAAATATAAAATTCCGTTTAAACGCGTACCATGGTGAGCGCAAAAAGCATACTATGCGATTATTATTGTAATACCTTCGGTATGAGAAGAACGTGCGCGCACACAAAACGATATCACACGGAATACGCACACTCGGAACACACGGTACACGCACTTAAAACAGTCGGACAAACAAAAAAAAAAAATGTAACGATTTTATTTCAATATATTATAATTTAAATATAGTATTTATATATATAGGTATACCATATAGTTTATGGTTGGTTATGATAAAACAAAAACAAAAAACAAAAAACACGTCGCGGACGAGCACAACAAAACGAACACACTCGCTGACGGGCGCGCGTACACTACACGAATGACTGTGTGCGACTGCGGCGGCAGTGGTAGCGTAGTAATAGTAGTAGTAGTAGTAGTAGTAGAGGCGGCGGAGAGCGGTGGCGGTGAAGGTGATGGTGGCGGTGGTAGTGGTGACGGCGGCGGTGTTGGCGTCGGCGGCAGCGATGGATGTGGAGGTGCCGTGACCGAGTCGAACGTAATAGCGCTGCTGGCCCCCGATCGTCGGCGGCGGTGGTCGGACACGCAGACGGCGGCGGCGACGCACACGCATTGGAAAACAGAGTGGGAAGAACACACGGAGTGTTGCGATAGAACGTGTAGCCCGATGGGAGGAGTGGAGCGGTGCGAGCACATAGACGCACACACACTCATACCGCGGTTACCAGTGTGCGCGACGATGGGCCGGGCGGAACGGTAGCGGTGGCGGCGGCGACGTTGGCAGACGTCGACGTTGGCAGACGTCGAGACCAGACAAGGGGCGGCGGCGGCAGCGGCGGCGGATCCTTGTTGTATGTGTGCTTGTGCGCGCGCAACCGTCTAGTCGCCAAAACCCGAAATTATTCACCGCGTCACATTATTTTTTTTATTATTATTATTATTATTTTATAGACCAAGCACCGACACATACGAGCTCTCACGTTTTCACGCACACCGACGTCATAATATTATGTTTTTTGTTTTGTTGTTCCGGAAAAGTGCGTTATAATATTAGTCGGCATGTGTTGTACTGGATGTAACTACGACTTGTTTTCGACGGCAATACGATCTACCGCGGGAGAGGCCCAGGCCCTAAAGACTAGAAGTCATCTTTCATTATGATAAATTCTTCATTTTATGGTTCTCATTACATTTTTTTAATATGTAAAAATTATGTAATCGTGTATAATTGGGCAATAATAATTTGTAGAAATGTCCTCTTTTTTATTGGAGGTATAGGGAGGCTAGGGATAGGTTCGTCGACCTAGGGGTGGTTTTGTCAACCTACGGATAGGTATGTCGGGCATCCACCGCCCCAACCTACGAAACCAAAAGCTTATTATTATACGCAATGAATTTTTTTAATTTTTCTACGGCAATAGCCTCATTGGGCTTAACTTATCGGTTTTCATATTATCAACAACAGTAGTACAATATTATATTCATGTCCGAAATCTCTGTGCGTCGTTTTTCGATGGTGGGCACTTCTCCCCGTGGAGGAACCTTTTCGGACAACTCGACCGCGAACGGTATCGTAGGTACGCCGAAGATTGCACGCGGTCCGAAAGTGTTTCGGGTGTGTCGTGAGTGGTTCTCACACGCGTGTACACACACCGTTGTGTGGCCGTAGCGAGCGCTCGTGTGTGTGCATGGTGTGTGTGTGTGCGTGTGTGCGTGCGCGACTACTACTACCGAACCGCCAGACGCAGACGTCGGCAAAAAAATATTACCGAACGTTGACCTCTCGTCATCTTCGTCCGGCGGTGGCGACGGCCGAAGGCATATGCATAACAACTTACTATAATAATATTATTATTTTTATTACGATGTGTTATAATGACGATAATAATAATAATAATATACCAAATGCACACACACACACACACTTGTCTACAATATTAATAAATAATAATAATAATATTGTAACGAACATAATGTTATTATTGTACTGCGACCGCGGGCACGCTGTATAAACTCGACTGAGATAAGGTAACGCGTGTGTCGAGTACAGCAACTATCGCTATTATTATTATATTTTGTTACAGTAATGCAACACGTGCACGGTGTATACATTTGCATTATGCACATGGTATTATATTATTATGCCAAACTAATGTTTATCTTTTTATTTCTCACGCCCGTCGCCGACGGTTTGTTATGTTTTTTTCTCTTACTTATTAAATATGTAGAATCGCCGACGCCCGAAAAGCGATACTGTTCTTCCTACCGAAATTTACTGTTCTCCGCGGCCCGCGGCCTTGTCACTGCAGAGGTACACCGACCACGAGTCCACTCGAGATTATTATTATTTTCATAAAATATTAAACGATGACACACATTTTTAAAAAATATTACGCGAGCCCAGCGATTTTCTAGCTCCGCGGCCGCCAATCGCCACAGTCGCACAACAGCAATAATGTGTAACGATTAACATTATGCGACGACGACGACGATGTCCATGGTAATATTGTTGTTGTGCATTTGTGCTGAATGTCATCTCTATAGAAGCGCGTAATTTTGAATTAACTGGAATGTACAAAATATGTAAAATAAAAAAACGAGCGCGAGCAAGTTATATTGCATCTGTAGCTATATATTTTCCGATAACGATAGTAATAACTAATAACATGCGCGTCGGTTCAACTCGTTTCGAATGCATTACAATAATATTATCGCCGTTACCGTCGGAAGGTCTCCGGACGACTCGACGATTATTAATTTTTTATTTTACTTTTCGCGCGTGCGCGCATACACATGCATAAATGCATAATGCATAATATCCTACTCGTGTACGAGTGCGGCCTTACACAGCCTTATACTGTGTAATATACGTACACACGCGAACACGACCAACGTCCAACACATAAAGGTGTATTACACTTGCATCTACCTGCGGCTCGGCCCGACAAACCAGTAATGATAATAATAATACACATCAACACATCCTCCTCCTCGTCGTCTTCGGGCCGAGGACACGACGCGCCGAGTGCACCGCGCTCAGTGACAATTGCGAAATACCTACACGGCTACACGGTAGGTATTCAACCTACCTCATTACTATTATTATTTGGTATACGCGACGGCACACGTGTGTGTGTGTGTGTGTGTGTAAAAATAATTTTTTACTCGTTTTTTTTTTTTTTTTAGTTTTGTTTTTGTTTATATCTCTCTCTCTCGCCCGTCGTCCAATTATCATTGTCTCATTGTTTTCATATTTATTGCATGCCGCAGTCGAATACTTGAATTAGTGCGCAATTAGCGGCGGCGTTCCGGGAAGGACGCGCGGAAACTGGTCACACTGGTCTCGGGCGCGCGCACGCGAAGAAAGATCGCCGGAATGGAATGCGAACGAAAATACAAGACTGTGGCCTAGGGACTCTCCGCAGTGCACATCGCCGGTCGATGTGGATATTGTGCCAAGAAGGTTGCCAACGCGGTCGTTCCGTCGCCCGCAGTAACGCCGTGCCGCGCGCGCTCCGCCATACCGCTGTGGCCGCGGCGGTATTGCGGGACGACGACTGCATCCATCAGCGGCACCGGATGCGGCGAGCCGCACCGCGAAAAACCTCGGCAGCGGCCGACGACGGGCGCATCGCCGCGGCCGCCACCGCGGAGTGAGCGGCCGCGACGTGGAGCACTGCGCCGCGGCCAAATGTCTTAACGCTCTGCCGCCGGCAAAACGATATAATGGTTTAACAACAATAATAGAATGCGACGTTCCACTCGCTCATTTATCACCGTACATTTTGTAACGTCGTTACATATTAACGCCCGGATATAATACTACGCGGACGGTGTACGGAGTGATTCACCGAACGTCTTCAGTGCCCACCCCCTTTATTACATTTATTGGAATTTTTATTTTTTCAAATTGTTTAAGCATACCTACTTGGAGTGACCATATTTTCGAACATTTCAATTTTATTTTCTCAAATGAGGAACGGGGCCCTTGGAAGTATTTAAAAATTAGAATTTGAATAAATTAATCATTTAAGAATATTAAATGGTCAGCATGTTTGGTATGGATTACATGAGTGATGTAGGTAGCTAAAAAATATGAAAAACTATCTTTCTCTTTCACAAATTCGATAACATGTAAATTTGCTCTATTATTAACACTATAATAGTCTGTAAATAAACTCTAGGTAGAATTCGGTAATTAGATTTGCTATAATATTATGTTACGCGTGTGTAAGGTAGAGACAAAGAGCGTCCTTCTCCTAATGTAATGTATAACATATTATAATATTATATCATGGTGAAATAGAGCAACTTGATGCTCTGTTTATTCGGTGGTTTAAATAGCTAACATATTTATAGCATCATCTTAATATTATAATGATTAATAATATTCAAATATTTCCGTTGAGTAATTTATATTATAAAAAAAATTCTTCTATTCTACAAATATCTAAATGATGTTTTCTTTATTCTTATCCATGATAATATACTTATATAGTTATATACTCCGATAACAGCGTCGGGTCGATTTTGGCTTAACCATAGTTTATATTTGTTGACACCTATAATACGCCTGCAGTATTATTGATAGATAATAAGACGGTTGGGACTTGAGAGTGAGTGACTAGGGTATAAAGTAGAAGTGATGAGATTAATTTTGCACCCTCCTCTATTGACTAAGTTTTAGTGCACTTGGGTCTTGGGAACCCGAGGCCCCAAGCGGATTATTTCGATTTGACCTACACTGATGATTATATTATATAGGTACTTACTTATAATATGATTTATAGATTTATGAATATAATATTTTGTATCATAGATATGATGTTTATCGGAAACATCCTATTTAAGATTTTGTAAATTATTTTATTCTTTTAAGTTTTATGATATATGATGGTTATTTCCACACTTTTTCAACACTCATAAAAACATCTATCTATCTATCTATCTATCTATAACCTCTAC